TCTCTCTCTCTCTCTCTCCTGTCCACTGACAAACTCTTTTCACTCTCACTTTCTCTACCCTGCTCTCACTACATCAATACAGTATTATACAGTATTATACAGTATCATACAATACGTATTGTTGATCAATAAATCTTAAACAATTCAATGCACCGCAGTATTTTATGAGTTTTATTAAAGCGAGAGATCGCTATTTCCGGGTCGTATTTTTTCCAGTTCCCGGTACTTCCAGGTCATGGTATTTCCAGGTCACGGTGTTTCCAGGTCACGGTATTGCCTGGTCACGGTATTTCCAGGTCACGGTATTGCCTGGTCACGTTATCTCCAGGTCACGGTATTGCCTGGTCACGGTATTTCCAGGTCAAGTTATCTCCGGGTTGTGCTGTTTATGAGCCCCGTTATTACCAGGTTGTTTTTAATCGGTTCAGTCGTCATGACAATTAATGAAATTAACAGCCTGGTCAACTGTTTGTGTGTTTATTTGACAGACAGAACCATCAAGGTTTTTCTAAGCTCAAAGTTGCACTCTTGTGGGTGGGGAGGGAATTTACTCGAAATATTTCTGCGGCCAGAATTTAGAAGTTTGTTGTTAAGATTTATGGTGGAGAGACAAGTTGTGGCCAGGAACGGAAGTGTCGGGAGGGTAATGCTATGGATTGCGTCAGTGCCACTCAGGAGATGGTCAGTGCCACTCTGGAGATAGTGCTACTGAAGGTGGTCAGTGCCACTATGTAGATAGTGCCACTGGAGATGGTCAGTGCCGCTCTGGAGATAGTGCCACTCTGGACATGGCCAGTGCCACTCTGGAGCTTATCGGTGCCACTCAGGGGCAGGGGAGTGACCTCTAGGGTCGGGTAATGTATCCGGGGTGATGCCTGTAACCGAGTCTCTCTGTAGCAAGAGGTATAGACGGTTATTAAGACCTCTGTGAGTCTCTGTCACCACGCCCACAGTGCCTTCAGTCTCTGTCACCACGCCCGTGGCACCCACAGCCATCACTACGTCATCGTCAGAACCTTCCCGCCAGTAAGTTGACCCTTCCCACATGTGTCCTGCTTTACCACGCCCACGGGCGAGCAGGAACCCGCCCACCAGAAGGGCGATACCCACACAGGATGCCACGATACCCGCACCTACGACAGCTCCGTCACTCACCCGCCCATGACCAAGCCCCAGGGGCAGAGGTTGTCCAGGACTCAACCCATGACTGTTGTCGCCACGATAGATCCACAGGTCCTTGTTGTGGTCCAGTGTGACAGGTCTGTGACCCGAGTCCTCTCTCTGAGGGGTCCTGGAAGACCCTCTCTCATTCTTTTTAGCTTTCTTCAATATCTTTTTTATTCTTCTCTCCTCTGCTGTTTTCTGAACGTGTGCCTTGACAGGCAGTGTTGTGCTGGTGTGTCTAGCTGTCAGTGTGAGATTCTTGGGTGGCATTCTGTTGTGAATCACCCAGTATGGGTGTGTCTTGATGGATGCTCTGGACGTGGTTGCTGTTGCACCTGCTGTGGTTGCTGGAGTAGGCGTTGCTGTGGGAGCCATTCCTTTAGTTGCATTACCTTCCCTTGAGGTGGCTGAGAGCGCTGTCGCCAGAGCACTCGTTGTTCCAACACTGTTACCGTTGACACCAACGAGTTCTCTAAAGCCTTGGCTTGGTGCTTCCGTCATCACCTTCTCACTGGAAGCGCCTTCCTCCAGTGTAGAAATTTTGAAATAATTGCTATCAGGAGAAAGAGTGACGAGGCTAGCCAGTGAAGAGTTCGAGTCAGCCCCTTTAGCAGTATCCAGTGGGCCTCCTGCAGGAGTATACTGTGAGTACCTGGCTGTGTCATTAACCCACAACTCTGATTCACTGTCCTCCGCTGAACCCGTGTCGCTAACATTCTCCACTTTCACAAATGGAGTCCTCGTCCAGGATTGTAGCGTAGGGATGGCAGAGGCTAGTCTATGAGCAGGTGAGGTAGTCAGAGTAGCCAGGATGGTCGTACTATCGCTGGTGGTTGATGGTAGTTCACTACTGTTAAAGGCAGTGGAGGAGGGGAAGTCAGTGTCTTCCAGAAGCATCACAGGCTTGTACCCAAAAGAAGCAGGTGTTGAACATCTGTGGGAGAAACGAGACAACAAATGTACATATAAAATCATCTTAATAATAGATTATAGCAAGACGAGCAACACTCGGGTGTCTTTACCGGTCAGATATTTCTCCTGCTGAGCACGCCTCTTCAGTGCAAATAATGTATCTAAGTCACCTCTGTGTTTAGACTGAAGAAGCCTGCTAGGCAGCCGAGACGTATCGTTCAGGAAGGCCTCCAAGTGCTACACATGCGTCTTGCTCATCTACCTGTGAATACTGTCTACCGTTAATATAATGATTCAATATTATAACATTATCAACAGCTTGAATAATGTACAGGAGTACATTCAGCGAAGCTAGTATGATGTTCCCGTTCATTATTACATAGCTGATGTGTTCACATCTATGCTAAGATCAACTTCAGCATTAACTATACTAAGATAGGGATTACTATACTATACTAAGATAGGGATTACTGTACCATACTTGACAGGGATTACTATACTATACTATACTAAGATAGAGATTACTATAATATACTAAGATAGAGATTGCTATACTATACTAAGATAGAGATTACTATACTATACTAAGATAGGGATTACTGTACCATACTAAGATAGGGATTACTATACTATACTAAGATAAAGATTACCGTAAACACTGCCTACACACTCTCTGAGAAATACACTCCGCAGTGTATATATACATCATGGAATATCGTGGACTGTATGATTTGCTGGGTCTCTGGTGTGTATATATACTCACCTAGTTGTGGATGCAGGGGTCGAGTCACAGCTCTTGGCCCCGCCTCTTCACTGGTCGTGTGTGTGTGTGTGTCTTATAATAAACTTGAGACATTGATGGCTTCAGAGGCAGACATGTATGTCTCTTTTGGGAGGTGGAACTGATCAGCGTTACTGCGTTAAAGTTTACGTTGAGCTGACAACGAATTGGAGGAGAAACTGCCCGTCTGGGAGACTGTTGTGACACACACACACACACACACACACACACACACACACACACACACACACACACACACGAGAGAGAGACATGTTGTTACAGTTGTTGCATCTGTCACCGTTGCATCATGTGTATTAACCAACATTCATTCCCAATATGTATATACATACACATACACAATACACAAGTATTGTCTACGTGCTGAGCATTCTATTTCTGTACAACTGAATTACTGTGTTTAACTACATCACTTTCAATATTACGAGCGTGACCTATATATATATATATATATATATATAATATATATATATATATATATATATATATATATATATATATATATATATATATATATATATATATATATATATATATATATATATATATATATATATATATATATATATATATATATATATATACATGTGGAAAGTTAGTTATATTAGAAAATTAATTACTCTGACAGGTGGTTAATTGGTTAGTAATTTTGCTGTAAATGTGTTAAGTGGATCATCAGCTTAATAATAACAGTAATAATGATAATAATAATTATTATTATTATTATTATTATTATTATTATTATTATTATTATTATTATTATTATTATCATAGGAAAAAGGGAGATAGGTGTGATCTGAGGAAGAGGGGAGTGTGGGAGCTCCACTTGCCTGGATCAAGAGCACCACTGACCTGATGCTGTAGGACCTGTAGAAGTGGACAGGTGAGTGAGTCATCCAGTGCTTCATCCAGATGACCTGTGAGGACCTGCTGCAGTCCCAGGTGTTGCCACTCAGCTTAGCCACCTGTAGGGGTCACAACCTTCAGCAAGCTTACAGAGGTCAAGCTTGAGCAAGCTTACAGAGGTCAAGCTTGAACAAGTTTACAGAGGTCAACCTTGAGCAAGCTTACAGAGGTCAAGCTTGAGTAAGCTTACAGAGGTCAAGCTTGAGCAAGCTTACAGAGGTCAAGCTTGAACAAGTTTACAGAGGTCAACCTTGAGCAAGCTTACAGAGGTCAAGCTTGAGCAAGCTTACAGAGGTCAAGCTTGAGTAAGCTTACAGAGGTCAAGCTTTAGCAAGCTTACAGAGGTCAAGCTTACAGAGGTCAAGCTTGAGCAAGCTTACAGAGGTCAAGCTTGGGCAAGCTTACAGAGGTCAAGCTTCAGCAAACTTACAGAGGTCAAGCTTACAGAGGTCAAGCTTGAGCAAGCTTACAGAGGTAAAGCTTGAGTAAGCTTACAGAGGTCAAGCTTACAGAGGTCAAGCTTCAGCAAACTTACAGAGGTCAAGCTTGAGCAAGCTTACAGAGGTCAAGCTTGAGCAAGCTTACAGAGGTAAAGCTTGAGTAAGCTTACAGAGGTCAAGCTTACAGAGGTCAAGCTTGACAAAGGTTCCAAAGGCTGCCAGTGTGAACTACCCAGAGAGTGGACGATTCACTCTGTGTAGAGCTTTATTAAGTTATCTTTCACTCTATGTAGAGCTTTATTAAGTCATCTTTCACTCTGTGTAGAGCTTTATTAAGTCATCTTTCACTCTGTGTAGAGCTTTATTAAGTCATCTTTCACTCTATGTAGAGCTTTATTAAGTCATCTTTCACTCTGTGTAGAGCTTTATTAAGTCATCTTTCACTTTATGTAGAGCTTTATTAAGTTATCTTTCACTCTATGTAGAGCTTTATTAAGTCATCTTTCACTCTGTGTAGAGCTTTATTAAGTCATCTTTCACTCTATGTAGAGCTTTATTAAGTCATCTTTCACTCTATGTAGAGCTTTATTAAGTCATCTTTCACTCTGTGTAGAGCTTTATTAAGTTATCTTTCACTCTATGTAGAGCTTTATTAAGTCATCTTTCACTCTGTGTAGAGCTTTATTAAGTCATCTTTCACTCTGTGTAGAGCTTTATTAAGTCATCTTTCACTCTGTGTAGAGCTTTATTAAGTCATCTTTCACTCTATGTAGAGCTTTATTAAGTCATCTTTCACTCTGTGTAGAGCTTTATTAAGTCATCTTTCACTCTATGTAGAGCTTTATTAAGTCATCTTTCACTCTGTGTAGAGCTTTATTAAGTCATGTTTCACTCTAGGTAGAGCTTTATTAAGTCATGTTTCACTCTAGGTAGAGCTTTATTAAGTCATGTTTCACTCTAGGTAGAGCTTTATTAAGTCATGTTTCACTCTAGGTAGAGCTTTATTAAGTCATGTTTCACTCTATGTAGAGCTTTATTAAGTCATCTTTCACTCTGTGTAGAGCTTTATTAAGTCATCTTTCACTCTGTGTAGAGCTTTATTAAGTCATCTTTCACTCTGTGTAGAGCTTTATTAAGTCATCTTTCACTCTATGTAGAGCTTTATTAAGTCATCTTTCACTCTGTGTAGAGCTTTATTAAGTCATCTTTCACTCTATGTAGAGCTTTATTAAGTCATCTTTCACTCTGTGTAGAGCTTTATTAAGTCATGTTTCACTCTAGGTAGAGCTTTATTAAGTCATCTTTCACTCTGTGTAGAGCTTTATTAAGTTATCTTTCACTCTATGTAGAGCTTTATTAAGTCATCTTTCACTCTGTGTAGAGCTTTATTAAGTCATCTTTCACTCTGTGTAGAGCTTTATTAAGTCATCTTTCACTCTGTGTAGAGCTTTATTAAGTCATCTTTCACTCTATGTAGAGCTTTATTAAGTCATCTTTCACTCTGTGTAGAGCTTTATTAAGTCATCTTTCACTCTGTGTAGAGCTTTATTAAGTCATCTTTCACTCTGTGTAGAGCTTTATTAAGTCATCTTTCACTCTGTGTAGAGCTTTATTAAGTCATCTTTCACTCTGTGTAGAGCTTTATTAAGTCATCTTTCACTCTGTGTAGAGCTTTATTAAGTCATCTTTCACTCTATGTAGAGCTTTATTAAGTCATCTTTCACTCTGTGTAGAGCTTTATTAAGTCATCTTTCACTCTGTGTAGAGCTTTATTAAGTCATCTTTCACTCTGTGTAGAGCTTTATCAGATCATCTTTCACTCTGTGTAGAGCTTTATCAGATCATTGACTTGCTAAAGCTCTACACAGAGCGATTCACAATAAAAGATTGATCTAAAACAGTGAGAGAGAGAGAGAGAGAGAGAGAGAGAGAGAGGGAGAGAGAGAGAGAGAGAGAGAGAGAGAGAGAGAGAGAGAGAGAGAGAGAGAGAGAGAGAGAGAGAGAGAGAGAGAGAGAGAGAGAGAGAGAGAGAGAGAGAGAGAGAGGAGGGAGAGAGAGAGAGAGAGAGAGAGAGAGAGAGAGAGAGAGAGAGAGGAGAGAGAGAGAGAGAGAGAGAGAGAGAGAGAGAGAGAGAGAGAGAGAGAGAGAGAGAGAGAGAGAGAGAGAGAGAGAGAGAGAAAATCACGGGACAATTTTGACACCAAAATAGCTCTGAACTGGCTGTATAATTGATGGTATAATTGATGGTATAATTGATGGTATAATTGATGGTATAATTGATGGTACAATTGATAGTGTACGCTAATGCGTGCTTGAGTGTGTACACTGCTGCGTCTGTGTACACTGCTGCGTCTGTGTACACTGCTGCGTCTGTGTACACTGCTTGGTCTCTGTGCATTGCTGCGTCTGTGCACACTGCTGCGTCTGTGTACACTGCTGTGTCTGTGTACACTGCTGCGTCTGTGTACACTGCTGCGTCTGTGTACACTGCTGTGTCTGTGTACACTGCTGCGTCTGTGTACACTGCTGTGTCTGTGTACACTGCTTGGTCTCTGTGCATTGCTGCGTCTGTGTACACTGCTGTGTCTGTGTACACTGCTGTGTCTGTGTACACTGCTGCGTCTGTGTACACTGCTGTGTCTGTGTACACTGCTGTGTCTGTGTACACTGCTGCGTCTGTGTACACTGCTGTGTCTGTGTACACTGCTTGGTCTCTGTGCATTGCTGCGTCTGTGTACACTGCTGTGTCTGTGTACACTGCTGTGTCTGTGTACACTGCTGCGTCTGTGTACACTGCTGTGTCTGTGTACACTGCTGCGTCTGTGTACACTGCTGCGTCTGTGTACACTGCTGTGTCTGTGTACACTGCTGCGTCTGTGTACACTGCTGTGTCTGTGTACACTGCTGTGTCTGTGTACACTGCTGCGTCTGTGTACACTGCTGCGTCTGTGTACACTGCTGCGTCTGTGTACACTGCTGCGTCTGTGTACACTGCTGCGTCTGTGTACACTGCTTGGTCTCTGTGCATTGCTGCGTCTGTGCACACTGCTGCGTCTGTGTACACTGCTGTGTCTGTGTACACTGCTGCGTCTGTGTACACTGCTGCGTCTGTGTACACTGCTGTGTCTGTGTACACTGCTGCGTCTGTGTACACTGCTGTGTCTGTGTACACTGCTGTGTCTGTGTACACTGCTGCGTCTGTGTACACTGCTGCGTCTGTGTACACTGCTGCGTCTGTGTACACTGCTGCGTCTGTGTACACTGCTGCGTCTGTGTACACTGCTGCGTCTGTGTACACTGCTGCGTCTGTGTACACTGCTGTGTCTGTGTACACTGCTGTGTCTGTGTACACTGCTGCGTCTGTGTGCACTGCTGCGTCTGTGTACACTGCTGTGTCTGTGTACACTGCTGCGTCTGTGTACACTGCTGCGTCTGTGTACACTGCTGCGTCTGTGTACACTGCTGCGTCTGTGTACACTGCTGCGTCTGTGTACACTGCTTGGTCTCTGTGCATTGCTGCGTCTGTGCACACTGCTGCGTCTGTGTACACTGCTGTGTCTGTGTACACTGCTGCGTCTGTGTACACTGCTGCGTCTGTGTACACTGCTGTGTCTGTGTACACTGCTGTGTCTGTGTACACTGCTGCGTCTGTGTGCACTGCTGCGTCTGTGTACACTGCTGTGTCTGTGTACACTGCTGCGTCTGTGTACACTGCTGCGTCTGTGTACACTGCTGCGTCTGTGTACACTGCTGTCTGTGTACACTGCTGTGTCTGTGTACACTGCTGTGTCTGTGTACACTGCTGTGTCTGTGTACACTGCTGCGTCTGTGTACACTGCTGCGTCTGTGTACACTGCTGTCTGTGTACACTGCTGTGTCTGTGTACACTGCTGTGTCTGTGTACACTGCTGCGTCTGTGTACACTGCTGTGTCTGTGTACACTGCTGCGTCTGTGTACACTGCTGTGTGTACATTCAAGAATCATCACTTAGTAAACATTTCTCGCTCTGAGCTCACTGACCTCGCTGAGCTCACTGACCTCGCTGAGCTCACTGACCTCTCTCTGAGCTCACTGACCTCTCTCTGAGCTCACTGACCTCGCTGAGCTCACTGACCTCGCTGAGCTCATTGACCTCTCTCTGAGCTCACTGACCTCGCTGAGCTCATTGACCTCTCTCTGAGCTCACTGACCTCTCTCTGAGCTCACTGACCTCGCTGAGCTCACTGACCTCGCTGAGCTCATTGACCTCTCTCTGAGCTCACTGACCTCGCTGAGCTCATTGACCTCTCTCTGAGCTCACTGACCTCTCTCTGAGCTCACTGACCTCACTGAGCTCGCTGAGTAAATACCTTTTTCAACTGACTACCTGTAACAGTGGCAGGACCCTCGGCTCACAACTGAGGGGAACAGGGTTCGATTCCTAGATGGATTGAAAGAAGAGACAAAATCTCCCTTTTTGAGCACACAATAAGGAGCAATGCAGTAGGCCTACTGGCCTATGCAAGGCAGATCTAACTCACCCGTCCAAACCTATATTTAAGGCTACCCAAAGTTCTGGCCTAAGTGACCCTACCTGGCAGTTTGTTCCACTCATCTACAACTCCATTGCCAAAGCACTACTCATCAATAACATTTCTAACTCTAAGTTTCTATAATTTTAATACATTGTTGTGAGTTCTGTCTTGGTTATGTATTTTCAGCATTTTTATATCGTCTTTAATTATTTCTGGTTTCCTGTTTGGCACTTCAGTCATATTTGTTATAATTCTGCGTCTTACCTTTCCTAAGAAAGGTTTCTAATCCTTTATATGTTTAAAAGTACATTTATGACCATCCTGTAATATGGAGACCAAAACTGAGCAGTATAATCTAAACGAGGCTTTACCAACCATATATAAAGTCAAAGTAACCAAGAATTCTATTAGCTTTATTGTGTACACTTATGCACTTTTGTCTTGGCTTTAAATTTCTGTTAACTAGAACTCTTAAATCTTTTCAATTTTCACTTTGACTAAGATCTGTATTGTTCAGCTTATAAGTGCCATAATAACTTCCTTTTTATCTACGTTGAACTCTGTCCACCACTTCTCCGACTATATCATCAACTTATCCAGGTAATACTGTAGCCTTCTAGTGCCTACATCAAATTATTTAACGGTTTATTTAAGTGTCAACGACAAATTTACTCATGTCCCTCTTTAAACCCTCTCCTGAGATGTTTATATTAATTGTGAGCAACAAGGGACCCAACACTGACCCTTGTGGCACACCACTTGTAACTGCTACCCATTCTTTCTCCCCTTTAAATGCAAACTCGCTGTTGCCTGTCTTATGTAGCAGGAAAAAGGTGCCTGGGTGTTTAAAGTAGGTACCTGAGTGTTAGGAGGTAGGTACATGGGTGTTAGAAAGTAGGTACCTGGGTGCTAGCGAGTAAGTACCTGGGTGTTAGGAAGTAGGTACCTGAGTTTTAGGAAGTAGGTACCTGGGTATTAGGAAGTAGGTACCTGGGGTTTAGGAAGTAGGTACCTGGGTGTTGGGAGAGTGTTGCAGGCGGCATCCTGCGGGACGGGATGGTAGATAAATCTGGGCTTTGAAACTGGCTGAGGTTGGTAGATTTAGATCGCAAACCAAAACAAAAATATAGTTGATAGTTCCATGAGAAATTCGATTTTTCGCTCATATGACGCCTCCAAAATTGAATACAGATACAATAGCAGAAATACTCAAGAGGGAGACCCAGAGCATAACTCTACTGATGTAATTACATACACAGAAGATAGGACAGTAGGAGCATAGCTCTGCTGGCCTATCATTGCAATAATGATATATAGTACCTACTTGATGAGGAATTAGACAGCTGAGGGACTGATTACCTCATCTACTATGTATATCATCTCTAAAGTGAAGTGAAAAATCTACTGGTTGGCGAAGCATCTTCAACCAAAGATGCCTAGGTATTGCATGTGTGTGTGTGTGTGTGTGTGTAATTCCTCTCCTGGTGTGGCTACAAATATGTAATTACCTGTAGCTTGGGAAAGAATGCTGGGAAGTCTGGCCTGAGCGCTGAGAGGTCATTGTGCATGATGTTCAGTTCCCTGATGCCTCGGAGTGAGTGAAGCGTCCTGGTAGTGTTGACCAGACGAGCAACCAGCCTCGGGGACCCGTACATCTCCAGGATCTGCAAGCCCTTCAGCGGGTCGAAGAGTGTGTCTGGGATCTGCACCGATGATGAGTGAATGCGAGACATCTGCAAGACGCGCACAGACGTCAGTCCTGTCATGACGTCTGCGTCAAGGCTCAGAATAGGGTTCTGAGAGAGGTCTAGAGTCTCCAGACTTGCAAGTCGAGAGAATATTCGACCTGTTAAGTTAGTCAGGCGATTAGCTTGTAAATCGAGAGTTTTTAGGCTTGTTAGTTCGCAGAGGGAACACGGAGCGATGGTAGCGATGTGGTTACGCTGAAGGAACAACTGCTCCAGGTTAGACTGACCTCTGAAGTCCCCTTCATGAAGTGCGGTTATAAGGTTCTCCTCAATGTAGACGGCTCTGAGGGCAGGAGGGAGGGACAGAGGAATATTTTTAAGCTTGTTGCCATTAAGCCACAGGCGAGCCAAGTACTCATGGCGGCCGAGTGAATCTTCTTCAAGAACCTCCAGACTGTTGTCATCCAAAACGAGGAGTCCCAAGTATGGATATGAGTCCAGGTCGCCGCGATGTATCTCCCTGATGGAGTTCTTCGCCAGGCGGAGATCCCGAACAAACTGAGTGAGAGCTTGAGGCACTCTGCTGATGCCAATGTTAGAGACATCGATGTACTGCAGCCGTGAACCGAAGAAGTCCAGCGTAGCTAGAGACGCCAACGGGTTGTTGGAGAGGATGAGGTGGGCCAGACTAGTCAAGTGTTGGAACGCAGCCACTTCAACGGAGAATATTTTATTTGCGTCCAGGTTCACGTATTGGACTCGGTCCAGGCCCTGGAACGTGTCTTTGGTAAGACTGGTGAGGGCGTTGTCCCTCAAGTTGAGATGCTGGAGCGCTGGCAGGTGAGTGAACGGCTGCGTCAGGTTCGCCAGACGGTTGGCAGACAAATCTAGATGGCGCAGCGATCTTAGTCCGCGGAAAGAGTCCGGCCCGAGAATGACGAGTCTATTCTCCGAGAGGTCTAGCCGGTCCAGCTCTGCCATAGCAGCGAAGGCGTCATTATACAGCCTGGAAAGGTTACACTGGTTCAGTTGTAGCTCACGAAGGCCAGGAAGGTGATGAAGCTGCATAGTTCCCAGCTCGGGGACCAGGAAGCCTCGCAGCTCGACTCGGGTCAGACCAGAGGGTAGCATCGGTGGGGCCCACTGCCCGTCACCCACACATGTGGCGTACCCGGCCTGAGGCAACACAAGACACAACATTAGTCTGCAGGGCACAACTATTTTTTCTCTTCCACGCACACGAACACTAATACGGGACACACATACACACTGCTGTTCTGACTAAAAACTAACAAGTATTCTGAAACACAAATACATATGACTAACTTACAAAATTACGAACTGTTTATAATACTGACAAGTTTCTCATTTATAAACTATCTCTACTGACCAAACATATCGTCAATAAAGAGACCTAGGTGTTGAACATGTTTCTTACTCATCAAACTAAAAGGAGAATAGAAGTGAGAGATATAAATAATGTTTTGGTGTGAGAGACACTCACCTCCTCCTCACAGAAGCAAGAGGCTGGACACGGTGATGCTCCACTGTCCTCACCAGGATCACTGCGAACCTCCAGGCTTCCCTCTAGGCTCCCTTCACCTGCTAGCTCCTGAAAGACAACACCGTCCTGCTGCTGGTGTTGGGCAGGGACTGCGCCTAGCACCATACCCAGGGCCACCCATGCCACACACCACCATACAACCACCTGCAAGTATACACAGCTTAGTAAGTGACTGACTGAAACAGTGCCATGTGTTCAAGTATGACTCAACACCGAGGCAACTTATGGCACTGTTGTCTAAATAAATTGTTTAAGGCAACGGTGATAACAGTCACTCGCTTGAGAGAACTAGTCTGAGGGACTGACCGCCTGGTATCACAACTGAGGGACTGACCGCCTGGTATCACAACTGAGGGACTGACCGCCTGGTATCACAACTGAGGGACTGACCGCCTGGTATCACAACTGAGGGACTGACCGCCTGGTATCACAACTGAGGGACTGACCGCCTGGTATCACAACTGAGGGACTGACCGCCTGGTATCACAACTGAGGGACTGACCGCCTGGTATCACAACTGAGGGACTGACCGCCTGGTATCACAACTGGGGGACTGACCGCCTGGTATCACAACTGAGGGACTGACCGCCTGGTATCACAACTGAGGGACTGACCGCCTGGTATCACAACTGAGGGACTGACCGCCTGGTATCACAACTGAGGGACTGACCGCCTGGTATCACAACTGAGGGACTGACCGCCTGGTATCACAACTGAGGGACTGACCGCCTGGTATCACAACTGAGGGACTGACCGCCTGGTATCACAACTGAGAGGCTGACCGCCTGGTATCACAACTGAGGGACTGACCGCCTGGTATCACAACTGAGGGACTGACAACCTCCTATCACAACTGAGGGACAGACCGCCTGGTATCACAACTGAGAGGCTGACCACCTGCTATCACAACTGAGGGACTGACCACCTGCTATCACAACTGAGAGACTGACCGCCTGGTATCACAACTGAGGGACTGACCGCCTGGTATCACAACTGAGGGACTGACCGCCTGGTATCACAACTGAGGGACTGACCACCTGCTATCACAACTGAGAGACTGACCACCTGCAATCACAAATGAGGGACTGACCACCTGCTATCACAACTGAGGGACTGACCGCCTGGTATCACAACTGAGGGACTGACCACCTGTTATCACAACTGAGGGACTGACCACCTGCTATCACAACTGAGAGACTGACCACCTGCTATCACAACTGAGGGACTGACCACCTGCTATCACAATTGAGAGACTGACCACCTGCTATCACAACTGAGGGACTGACCACCTGCTATCATAACTGAGGGACTGACCGCCTGGTATCACAACTGAGGGACTGGCCACCTGCTATCACAACTGAGAGACTGATCACCTGCTATCACAACTGAGAGACTGACCACCTGCTATCACAACTGAGAGACTGACCACCTGCTATCACAACTGAGGGAGTGACCACCTGCTATCACAACTGAGAGACTGGCCACCTGCTATCACAACTGAGGGACTGGCCACCTGCTATCACAACTGAGGGAGTGACCACCTGCTATCACAACTGAGAGACTGGCCACCTGCTATCACAACTGAGGGAGTGACCACCTGCTATCACAACTGAGAGACTGGCCACCTGCTATCACAACTGAGGGAGTGACCACCTGCTATCACAACTGAGAGACTGGCCACCTGCTATCACAACTGAGAGACTGACCACCTGCTATCACAACTGAGAGACTGACCACCTGCTATCACAACTGAGAGACTGACCACCTGCTATCACAACTGAGAGACTGGCCACCTGCTATCACAACTGAGGGAGTGACCACCTGCTATCACAACTGAGAGACTGACCACCTGCTATCACAACTGAGAGACTGGCCACCTGCTATCACAACTGAGAGACTGGCCACCTGCTATCATAACTGAGGGAGTGACCACCTGCTATCACAACTGAAAGACTGGCCACCTGCTATCACAACTGAGGGACTGACCACCTGCTATCACAACTGAGAGACTGGCCACCTGCTATCACAACTGAGGGAGTGGCCACCTGCTATCACAACTGAGGGAGTGACCACCTGCTATCACAACTGAGGGAGTGGCCACCTGCTATCACAACTGAGGGACTGGCCACCTCAGAATTGTTCTTTCTACTGTTTCCTTCTGTCGTCTGTATTGGACTGAAGAAGCCTGCTACGCAGACGAATCGTTTAGTAATAAAGACACCGAAGTGTTAGACAAGTGTATTAATTATTAATTTGCCAGTATTAAACATCATCAATCATGTGACAGACTAAGGATCGGTGATGTAGAGGTTGTGTCTCCTCCCTCACAGACGTGAACCCAGGTTTAATTCCATTATAATTCTCTCTGATATTATTATTGCAACCACCAATTACACAGGTAACAACGGCGCCACTACCCACTGTATTGTGTACTAGATAGTGCATGACACCAAACCAGAGGTGCTGGAAAATGCCATTATATTTCTACGTTAACTGGCAGCCACAGGCTCGTTCTTGTCAGTCACAGGATTTATACATGTATAGGTCCAGTACATGTCTCAAAACACACACATGTAAAAATATATTTAAGTGAATAAATATTGTGAATAATGTATAAGGGTTCATCTTGTATGACGATCAAGGATTAGCGGCAGAGAGGTCGACCAAGATTTGAATGGATTGGATAATGGAGTTTAAAGTCTATCTGCGACACGAGGATCATTAAGTCTGCATAGCAGTTGTTCACCACCAGGCAAGATGACTTTAGTAACTTAAAATGGGAATTAAAGTAACTTGTCAGTGTATATACACAGAGGTATATACCTCTCAGTGTATATACACAGAGGTATATACCTCTCAGTGTATATACACTGAGGTATACACCTCTCACTGTATATACACTGAGGTATACACCTCTCAGTGTATATACACTGAGGTATACACCTCTTAGTGTATATACACTGAGGTATACACCTCTCAGTGTATACACACAAAGATACACTTCTCAATCATAGAGTTGTCAGGAAGTGGAATAACCTAGAAAGTGACGTAGTGGAGGCAGGAACCATACATAGTTTTAACACGAGGTTTGATAAACCCCATGGAGCAGTGAAGAGGTGGGGCCAGGAGCTATGAATCGACCTCTGCAACCACAAATAGGTGAGTACAAATAAGTGAGTACACACACTGTGACACGGCTCTCTGATACGACACTCAAATGTACAATTGACTACAAGACTGAAGACTGTCACTGTAACTTATAGTGGTGACAGTGAACAGTCTCCACTCTGATGTACTACTGCACTTCTGAGGTGCTGTACTCTTGTACTGATGTACTACTGCACTTCTGAGGTGCTGTACTCTTGTTCTGATGTACTACTGCACTTCTGAGGTGCTGTACTCTTGTACTGATGTACTACTGCACTTCTGAGGTGCTGTACTCTTGTACTGATGTACTACTGCACTTCTGAGGTGCTGTACTCTTGTACTGATGTACTACTGCACTTCTGAGGTGCTGTACTCTTGTACTGATGTACTACTGCACTTCTGAGGTGCTGTACTCTTGTACTGATGTACTACTGCACTTCTGAGGTGCTGTACTCTTGTACTGATGTACTACTGCACTTCTGAGGTGCTGTACTCTTGTACTGATGTACTACTGCACTTCTGACGTGCTGTACTCTTGTACTGATGTACTACTGCACTTCTGACGTGCTGTACTCTTGTACTGATGTACTACTGCACTTCTGACGTGCTGTACTCTTGTACTGATGTACTACTGCACTTCTGACGTGCTGTACTCTTGTACTGATGTACTACTGCACTTCTGACGTGCTGTACTCTTGTACTGATGTACTATTGTACCTACAAGTATGAAATTACACAAGTTTAATTATTAATAGGCAGTTAGAATCATAGACTGGAACATTACAGACAGATAGCAGAGCAGAGAATATTATAGACAGCAGAGCAGAGAATGTTACAGACAGCAGAGCAGAGAATGTTACAGACATCAGAGCAGAGAATGTTACAGACAGCAGAGCAGAGGATGTTACAGACAGCAGAGCAGAGGATGTTACAGACAGCAGAGCAGAGGATGTTACAGACAGACAGACAACACAGAAGAGAAACGATGTGTGTGTCTAACACCTGCGAGTAAGGCGTTGTAACATCAGGTGTCCGGATCAGTAACAACACCGGTGTCTGCTACCTGTTACCGCTTAACCTCCAATTACCTTCTTCAGTAGTATCTCTGGGAGTTTGTCAAGTAAGCGAAAACGAAGACAGAGCAAAAACAGACTGACTGAGGAGACCAGGCCCTCCTGGGCTTTCCAGATATATATTATAATGTACTCTCTCGCTTACGTTCCATGGAACACAATTGAAGGGATTTCAGACGCTCCCAGTAGTTCTTATGTTTGAAAGTATACCAGCAGTGAAAGTTCTCTATAAGTTTTTTTTTTTTTAAGCGAGTAGTCTGGCCTGCCTTGATGAAGTCCGTCTGTATACAGCAGTATTCCAGCCTGGAGAGAACGAGTGACTTTATTATCGTCTTGGGATCACCATCTCTTGTCTTGAAAGTTACAGTTATCCAGCCTATTGTTTTAATTGTGGTATCAATAGCAACACTGTTGTGATAAGTAAATATTATTTGAACGATCTGATTTCGTCCTGTACTCAGTTACAGTCTTTATTTCCTTCATTCTTCCATAGCGGAGCAACTGCAACTTGTCCTCGCTAAACTTCGTATTGTTGTCTGAGACCCAGTGAAAGACTTGAATTATATCTGCTTGAAAGTCTGCTGTGTCATGGAGGGACGCCACTCTCAGAGATTCTGGTGTTATCAGCAGAGAATGTTACAGTGCTGTGATTTATGCCCTTGTCCATGTCTAATATTAGAATGAAAACAGAAGTGGGGTTAGTACTGTGCCTTGAGGAACAGAACTTTTCACAGTGTCAGCCTCCGACTTCGCTCTATTTATTGCTGTTCTTTGACTTCTGTTTACATTTTATGCGCTGTCACCGTGGTCGCACTTGTAGAAGGCTTTCACAAAATCATTGTACACTACATCAGCATTAAGCTTACCTTCCAGGACCACGTAGCAATGATCTAACAGTTGTGAAAGGCAGGAACAACCTGCCCT